TTTTTTTTTTTAACTTGACAAAAGATGAACATTCTATTTGGCTCTTCTCTTCCCTTTAAAGACAAGCCGTTCCTCAAAAGGGCAGCGTTCTGGGAGGCCGCATCTTGATCCACTGGCAGACAATGCATTTCTTTATGGAGAAGCACCATGCGTGGTTTGAGGCGAAAGGGCTCCTCTGTAAGCCACCGGCGGGATTAACGCGGTCCGGCCTCTCTGCTTCTCAGAGCAGCACCATCTGCTCACCACGCGCCCTGCAGCCAGCCGAGGAGGTCGGTTTGCTGTGTTCCCATCCATCGGGCGGGGGGCGTTTGGGTACGCCTCTTCATCTCTCTTAGAGAAGTCCTCTAGAAATGGGCTCTTGCCAGCCCTACAAAACTCAGGGCTCCTATGAATTCCTGTGACGACCACCCGGGGCTATGCCCTGTAAGTGCTTGTGTGCACTTGGCCTGGCTACCTCCCCAGCCTCATCTCATCTCATCTCTGCCCTCCCTGGTTGCCACCCAGAGCCACCCTGGCCTCCCAGCTGCTGCTCAATACGCCAGGCTCCCTCCTTCCTGCCTCAGGGCCTTTGCACTTGCGTTTCCTCTGCCAGGGACCGGTCTCCGTCCTCGACAGCTTTGTGACTCACTCTCGTATTTTATTCAGGCATCTGCTCAGATATCATTTCATCAGAAGCCTCCACTGATCACCTCCTCCAACGAGCTCCCTCCACCTTGAGCCCCTGTCCCGCTGTTTCCCAAAGGCACGTGGGACTGCGCAACCTGCTCTTAAAGAGCAAGGTGCTTATGGGCCGTCTCCTCCCACGAAACGTGAGTCCCACGAAGGCAGGGCCTTCTCTCCCTGCTGAGGCCCAGTGCCAGCTCCCAGCAGTTGCTCAGTAACTTGTGGAGCAAATAAGTAAATCTGGTCGGCAGAGAGCTAAGAGCTTTACAGACACTGCTCCTGATCCATGCTCGGGAGCCACTGTATGAACAGGAGAGGAAGGCCTCCGGAGACGACGCAGCCAAGGGCACCTGGCGAGCAAGCGCAGAGCTGGGCCCACACCCGGGCCCCCGGGCCCGAGCCTCTATCCCCCACACACCAACGGCCCCTGAACAGCCTTGGGCCTCTCCCGCCTCCTCCTGCGCTAGAAACACCTGGCCCTCACCTCCCGATTCCCTCCGGGAGACTGCACAGGCCCGGTCTTCACGGGCTTGCTCTCCCGGGGGCCTAGTTCAGGGCTTAGGATACAACTGTCTCTCAGGAATCACAGGTGAATGAAGCGGCACTGCCTCCAGCAGGACCCCCGCATCTGCAGCCTGACTTACGGGACCCCTCAGTGTCACCCACGGCACACTGAGCAACCTCTGGATGCTTTGTCCTCAGATCACATCGTGACTGCCTCCTCCCATAGACGGTGAGGTGAGCCCCGAGGGTGGGTCCAGGCCCAGACATCCCAGAATCTTCTGACTGCTCTTGCTCTCGCTGCACACGGATTAGTAGGCCCGACAGAGCCACCCCGCCTGGGCCCTGAGGCTGCACTGCCACGATTCCACGGCAGCCACAGGAAGCTGTCCCACGCTCAGCGCCCTGCTTCCTCCTCCGTGTACAGCACAGGTCGTCCCCAGGGGTCTGCTCTCCAGGGCACATGTGGCAACGTCAGGAAATATGTTGGGCTGTCACCACTGGAGACGCTCCTGGGAGATGCTGCTGGCATCGCGTGGGGAGAGCCCAGGCCGCTGCTCAACATCCTGCCCGCACAGCTCGGCTCCACGACGAACTGGCCAGCCACCAGGCCCAGAGTAGGAGGCTAAGGAACCCGACGACAGGCCTCAGGGAGGCAGGCGTGGCTCCCAGAAGCTGCCACGGCTGGGACAGGAAGATCCCAGAGGTGCAGGAGAGCAGCCCATGTCACTCCAGGCCACTGAGCCATGAATGAAGTGGCCCAGCTGGCAAGGGCAGGGTCTGGGGCCTGCTGCTCATCCACAAAGAAGTCAGCCCTGGGTTAAGAGGCTGAGAGCCAGCCCTGGCACCCTCACAGCCGTGGACAGGCCGCTGAGGCAGCAAAGCATTCTGGGCCACACAACGCCACCTGACTTGGTCTGACCTGACGGAGGGCACCGGCTCCTGCCCGCCCCACCGCACTCCCTGCTCCTGCCGTTCCCACTGAGCCAAACAGAGCAGAGGACGGTGAGATGTACACGCATTTGTCCTTCCGGTTACTCCAGGGGGACGCACGGCGACAGCAGCACATGAAACAGGCTGAGAGCTGCCGAATGCCGCCTGTTCCGAGCTCGCCTCCTGCTCCCAGCCTGGCTCTGCCTTCATCGCAGCAACTCTCACGTGGTCTCGTGGTGGCTTCCGGGTGCATGTCTGTCCCCACCCAGATTCATCTTGCTATCCCTAGCTCCCAGTGTCCCGAGGAACACAGAAGGTATCAGTCCTTGTTGGCCGAGTGAATGAGTAACTACCTGAGCAGCCCCGTTCTGGCAGGTGGACGCACAGCCATGCACGGCCTCCCCTTTAACCTCTGGGCGATTTAAGAGCGGAGGTGGAGGAGGAAAGAGCGGGGCTTTCTCATGGAGGAGAGATGGACTGCAAGGGTCACACGGTGGACGGGAAAGCCCAGGGCCACCTGCCCCGCATGTTACATAAAGACACAGCTTCCGTGGGACGGCCCCACAGAGGGCACTGCGCCACCGACGTACCTCTTTAGGGGTGAGATCTTTCCTTGTTGGTATCGGAGCGCGCCTCCTGAGGAGAAAAACCGGAGGGTAAGAAACCCGAACTTCTCTTGGGAGAAACGTTAGATTCTGCCAGGCCATGGGCTCCCGGCCGCTCCCTTCCCCCCGGCTGCCAGCTCCTCTCTGACAGCCGTGATGAGTAACGGAGGGGCCCAGCTATGGTTCTGCAGCTTTAACTTCGGACACCCCTGGGGACTTCACTGGAGCTGTCGCTTCCCAGGCCCCAGCCCCTGCGATCTGCATTCTGAAGATGAGGCTGAGATTTCTCCTGTTCCCTTCAAAACAGGAAAGTGCTACTTTTCTCAGAACCAAATGATTCTATTCATCCCAAACCAACAGGCCCCAGGCACCTACAAGTGTCATAGGAATCTTAAATATGATAAACATAAAGCAAGCAGGCCCGAGGCAGCACCTACCCCAGGTGCTGACGGCGTTGTCCACTCCGGAGGGGTTCCCGTGAATCACCCTCTCCCCCTGGAAGGCCCACTTGTTAATCACTTCCAAGTCCTCCGCTGTCCACCTGAAGACACAAAGCTCACTTTTACCGCAGTGCTGGGCGGGGCCGGGGGTCCCCAGGGCATTAGAGGCAGGGCCACGGGCTGGGCTGGGCGGAGGCGAAAGGCAAAGGCGTTTGGGCCCTCGAACTCAGAAGAGAATCATGCTCGGAGCCTCCCCAGCTGAAGCACGTGCCCTCCCTCCCCTTCCCTCCGAAACCCTCCTGCCTGGCACGGGAGAACCGGCTTTGGGTTCTCACAGGCCTACTTTGCCTCCTGCCAGCTGAGTGACTCTGGGCCCATTACCTAAGCTTGCTCATCTGTAGCACGGTCACGCCCCCTCCTCAAAGGCTAGCTGCAGTGTACTGAGTGCGGGCAGGGCGCCTGGCAAGGTGTTCGCCAGCCATGATGGCAGCTGTGACTGTAACAGACCTTTACAAAAGCACCTGCTCCTGAACCACACTGCCTGGAAGAAGAGGGGGCAGAGGGGAGACTTTCCCAGCAGTGGGCACGGAGGGAACATGCTCTGGTTGCAAACGCAGCTGTGCCCATCCTGGCAGCAGCACCATCTTCTGCTGCTGCCCTGAGAGACGGACAAGCCAGCTGGGTCCCACGTGGCTGCGACCCCAGGCCCTCCAGTGGGAGGGCTCCCTCAAGTCCCATCGGTCCCGGGACAAGCCTCGACCAGAGGCTGCCCAGCTGCCTTCTGGGGTCTGATCCCCAGCTCCCGGGGCGAGGCCAGGGCTCACTGCCCCACCTCTGTGCTGAGGGGGCTTCTCCAGGCGTATTGCCCAGTCACAGTGGCTCCCCGCAGCGTGCTGACAAGCCTCACTGACGCTCAGTGACAGAGAGGACGCCTCTGTGGGGACACGGTCCAGGACCTGCTGGCGGGCAGAGGCCCTAACCCAACGGGCACATGTCCTGTGCTTGCTTCTTGGCACGTTGTGATTTTGTTCATAACCGTGTCACGACCTGGCAATCCCAGCCTCACCATTGCAGAGGACACTCAGGAGTCATAGCGGGCCCACAGCGGGCTGATGGCAGAGGGGCCCACAGCCTCATCTACCCTGCTGCCCTCCGCAACTGGGTTCAGGTTCTCCCTGGGCACGTGAACCCCAAAGAGGAAGTTGGGGGTGAGAGGTAGGGTTGGGGACTTAAAGTGTTCAGTGCAGGGGCGAAGGGCTCCAGCCCTGGGTTCAAATCCCACGTGGCCACCACTAGCTGTTTGGCTTCACTGCCCCTGTTTCTTCTGTAAAATGGCACGTGATACCCTCACAGGGGGGTGGTGAGTTCTTGGCAAGAGAACCCATGCTCAGGTCACGGCCCACAGGAAGGACAGCGAGCAGGGTGAGGGCCATGAGTACCTGCTGGCGGCCTCCCCGCCCTTCAGCGGGTTTGGGATCTCCTCGCACAAGGTCAGGAGGGCAGCTGCCAGACACACGGAGTAGGCGGCACTGGAGCCCAAGCCGGCCCCGGTGGGCAGCTCCGACCACACCACGACGTCCAGGCTGGGCAGGGCGCTGAAACACACACCGCAGGGCGGTACAGACTCATTCGAACTGCCAGGATGTCCCGCCAGAGCCCTTCCCATGTCTCAGGAACCACCCACCCAGACCAGAAGGTGGGGACATGCCCCTCCCCCTCTGGAGGGGACACGCCCCCTCCCAGCTGAAAATCCCGCATCAACCTGCAAGCGCTGAGGCACTTAAAGTGGAAGCGTCCTCAGCTGGCGCCTGGCACCCAGGGCCCACATATGCTGCGTCTGCTGCTCCAGTGAAGGGCTGCCACCCGAGGGTTTCCCTTCAGGTTCTGGGCCCAAACATCATAGTGATGACTACGGGGTTTGTTTGGGGAACAACTGATAACCGTGGGTGGGTTGCTGTGAATGGAAAAGCGGACCACATAAGAGTGCCCAGCACGGTGCCAGCACATGGGGGAGCAGCTGCCAGCTGCCATCAGAAACCGCAGGGAGCGTGTGCGTTGTCCAGCAGCCCAAACCAGAGGAGCCCTCCCCCACTTCGGGGGAAGCCGGACCAGGCCTCCTTCCCCACTGGGCACACACCTCCGCTTCCGGCAGACGGACAGGAACAGGTAGAGGAAGGCCAGCACGGCCAGACGCTCGCGGTCGGCACAGTCCTCAGGGAAGCCCGCCACCTCCTTCAGCTTCTCCACTTGCTCTGTGACGTCACCTTGCTCTGTCACACAGTAAACAAGGACACGCGGATGGGTGAGACTCGGACGCTCTTACAGACAACGGGACACAAAGAGCTGCTGGTCACCGCGACCGGGACCTGGTAGACACGGCTCACGGTCTGAGCTACCGGGACGCGGATGGACACGGCTCACGGTCTGAGCTACCGCGGATGGACACGGCTCATGGTCTGAGCTACCGGAACGCGGATGGACACGGCTCACGGTCTGAGCTACCGGGACCTGGGTGCACACGGCACCTGGTCACCGCGACCGGGACCTGGTAGACACGGCACCTGGTCACAGCGACCAGGACCTGGGTGCACACGGCACCTGGTCACCGCGACCGGGACCTGGTAGACACGGCACCTGGTCACAGCGACCAGGACCTGGGTGCACACGGCTCACGGCCAAGTACCGCAGTGCGTCTGCCGGGGGGCTCCAGGCTTCGCAGGCAGGAGGCTGGGGTTTGGGTCCTGACCAGGAGACTCGCTGGCTTCCTGGCCGTGAGCCTGCGCCTTAACCCTCTGAACTCGGGCCCCTCCTTGGTAAATGGGGATACCAACAGCACCTCCTCACCAGAGTGTCATGAAATAAAGTAAAATAAGCCACTAACTCCTTCGCACGCACAGCTTCTGGCACGCAGGAAGTGCTTAATTAATAGTTTAAAACATACACATGCACATGAGAAGTGAATGCTAGCGCAAGCACCAGAGGCCTGCGTTTGACCGCCACTGTACGAAACCAGCACCAGAGGCTACGTCACATTGCTCCCCATTATCCCCCCTCCCAGGGCATAATCAGGAGAACAGGACACTCAATAAAACCCGTGAAGGCGAAATACCGAGACCTGCCTGGGCAGGAGGGAAAGGCCAGGAGGCAGTTTCTCTTCCAGAGCCAAGTGAGCCGGCACTCTCACTGCGGAGGCGGAGGAGCAGAGCAAGTCTGACGAGCTCGCCTTTGCACACCGCTCCCTGGGACTTGAAATGAGCCGGGTGTGCCGGTTAGGAAGCGTCAGGGCGGGGCCTGTAAGCGCTATGGGCTGACTGGATTAATGACATTAAAGGCAGCCAGGCCAGTGACAGTGGTCCCAAGAGCCTGGGCATGCCAGAGCTCTGTGAGGGAGACGGACTGGTTCGTTAAGAGCCCAGGCTCTGATTTTGGGAAGACCCGAGTCTGAATCCTTTCCGTGTCACTGAGCCCCACGACCTGAGCCACTTGGCCCCTGAACCTCAATGTTCTCATCCATAAAATGGGGATGAATCACACCACCTACTTCCAGGGAAGGCCAGGGACTCCAGGAGCACAGCATACGTAGCTCTGTGCCTGGCGCCCAAAAGGCCCAGGAACCGTTCCCTGTGGTTATTACTGGTGTTAGGAGGGAACCAAAGAACACGGAGAGAAAATAACGGTGGATCCTGCAGCCGAATAGAAAACACTGGTGTCCAAAAGGCTCAGGTTCCCTGTCTCCTCGGGGGAAAATGAAACAAGCCCTCGTGTCCGCACTGCACTCTGTGTCACAGCCCCAGGCCCAACGCTGACACTGAACTGCCTGATTATGATTAATTACGTAATTAATATTAATTGCTGGCTCCTCACAGCCAGCTCCCAGGTAACAGAACTCAGCTCAGAGTGTTAGGTGACCCGCCCAGGCTCACAGGGAGCCAGAAGTGGTCTGAGACGTGTCCCATCCGACCTGGCTGCTTCCATCCCGGCCGATGGCACCTAGAAGCGGCAGCCAGTTCTCAGGGGGCGGTTCCCGCTGGCTGGGCGGCCCTGTGCACCATGAAAAGCGAGGTCCGGTGCTCCGGACCTCTGGTTTCTGAGGCAAGATCCAAAGCAGTGCTCCTCACTGAGGTGTCCCTGCGATCACCCAGCGGAGCCCTTTTTCAAAATACACACGCCCGTCCCTTACCTACCACCACCACTACCGAGTCTCAGCAGAAGGGCAGGACCAGGAATCCATCAGAGCTGCTACAAGCAACAACGAACCTCCCCAGGGAATCTCAAGGCAGGACTGAGGTTGAAAATAATGACTGGAAAATGGCGGTTTTCCACCCTTTGTCCGTCTCCCTCCAGAATCTGAGAGCGGCTGAGTGCTGGCTGCGGGCTGATTCCGTGGGCACAGGGGCGGCTTGGGAGACAGCCCGGGGGAGTCTCCTTCCCACCCTGGCCAAGAACCACTGTTCCCGACAACAAGGCGTCAGTCCCGAGAGGAGACTGAGACCAGGACGCACGCTCTCGCTCTGACCCAGGGAGTGGTGGCTCCGCAGATGAAGGCGCCTAGCTGCGCGGGGTGGACCCGGCATTCCCACGGCTCGCAAAAATTAGCACGGGCCTCTATTTACCGGGAGACAGTCCTGATATACGGAAGAAAAAAGGAGTCACGTGGCCTGTCCAGTTTTAGTTAAAAAACAAGCTATCTCCCTATCTCAATCAGTCCATCAACAGAAAATAACCCAGAGGGATTAACACCAAGATGCTTAAGAGTTGTCATGAGGGATGGTGATAACAGATGATTTTTTTTTTACTTGCAATCTTCCAGTATTGACTGTATATATAATAAGCATAAATTACTTTTATTTTAAGAGATTTTTTATTATGTAAAATGCCAATACATTCTCCTTGTTAAAATAACATTAAAACATTTGTCCACTCCTGGGCCTTCGGACCCTCCAGTGGTAACTACTCACCATTGTCCGTTGGGTGGATATTTCCCAGCCCTTTCCCACGCATTTGCATACACACCGATACTTAACCTGTGTCATTCCTCATCACACGACACCTGCCCTCGTGTAACTTGTTTTTCCACTCAACAGTAGGTCCTGATTACCTGTCCACAACAGCCCACACAGATCTATCTAGTGCATCATTTTATGCTTTTGAATTTTTAAAAAATTAATAAGTGAAGCTAATTATATGCGGTCCAGAGAGAAAACACCCCAGAGTGGCTGGCTCTGGCTCCCTCGGAACAGCTTAGAATAGTGGTTCTCAACCTTTTGGCCCTTTAAATACAGCTCCTCATGTTGTGACCCAACCATAAAATTATTTTCGTTGCTACTTCATAACTGTAATGTTGCTACTGTTATGAATCATAATGTAAATATCTGATATGCAGGATGGTCTTAGGCGACCCCTGTGAAAGGGTCATTCGACTGCCAAAGGGGTCGCAACCCACAGGTTGAGAACCACTGGCTTAGAATAACTGCCCAGTTATTCTCCTCTTATCCGCTCCCTTCAGGGCCCAGCTCGTCCTCTGCGCTCTCAGAGTGGGCTGAGCGGCCCTGCGGGCCTGTCTTTTCCTTGCCTGGCTGGGGAGACTGACCTCCTCGCCGACGTACTATCAGGCCATGCGACGAGGCTGCTGTTAGCTCCCTTCCCGGTTAGCGTCGGGGACAACGGTGCCGTCCTGCAGGCGGGCCCTTTACCTTGCCATGGACCACGGCATGCTCTCCGTGCAGGATGACTTTCCCCGGCGCCGACACCAGCAGGCCTTCTGGCAACATGGCTCGGGGCTCCTGAAAGGGAAAGCCAGAGGGTGAATGCCCGGATCTGGATATGCATACAATGGAGTGCCAGCGTGTCATTTAGAAAGAACGCGCGCGGCGGCTGCAACGGATGCGCCAGAAAGACCTGGGCCGCACGCAGCTCTTCGGCTCCCGCGGGATGTCACCTTGGCTAACTCGCTTCTACGGCTCCGGGCTGGGTCCCCGTGTTAAGTGGGGGCACAGCTTCGCCCACCTCAGGAAGCTTGGGGACGCTGAGGTTAAATAAAGCGAGGGAAGCACTTGTCCCCGCTCCATCACTGAGGGCTGCTATAATGGCTGTTCTTGGTTCCCGGTTTTATTACTATTAAAGGCACAGACTTAAGTGAGATCGTGGGCCCGAAAGAACTCTTCCCCGGACACGCGGGCTGCTCCCGAGGGGTCGGAGCTGCACCGAAGCGCGATCCCCACCGCTGTCTCAGAGTCGCCGGCTGGGTCTCGGGGTGCGCATTTTGATTTTCATAAATAATGCAAAGTGGCCCTCCATTCAAGGCTTCACGTGCACTGGTCACGTCGGCAGGAGAAGACCTGAAGCTCGCTGAGCACCAAGTACAACCGCGATCCCCGTTTCCAGCCGGGGAAACCGGGCTCGGGCGGGGAAACGTACTGCTTCACCGATGCCGGAAAGCA